ATGAGGAGTGCTGGAAGAACGCGACCACTTTTGGAAGGGATGCGGTTGCTCACAAGAGGCACGATTTAACCGACATGTACTTCTACTGTGAATGACATCATGGATGACCGGGGTACCCTTCCGCAACCTCTCGTTAAATTGGTGAAAATTGTTGGCCGGGGGTCCTTCCCACTTGTGTCAACATGGTTGTTTCAACGCTGTCGTGTCGACAACTACTGCACTGAAGATGATTCGATGATCGCTGTACGTTCACGGAGCACACGTGCATGAGAAAGCGACCGGACTCCCGTTGTCAGCACTCACCGTCTCCAATGCACGCGAGCGGCAAGGTCCGAACCCGAATCTGGCTTCAACTGCGTTGGCTGCAGAGTCATATCGCCTCGTTCGAGCGCTGTACATCATATATATATGAACGACTACACTGCACCATGGACTAGAGACGGTATCCCGAAAATATATAGGAAAATCAACAAGTTTGTCAGCCAACGATACTCTCCACACAAGTAGGGTTCAGCAATTCGAGAATATCATCTATTGCGCGGTATGTCTGTAATGAACAACAACGCTGGCCACAGTCCGGTCCCTCATGCCCCCAATCAGTTGGCACACCATCAAGAGTCCTCACTTTTCAACACCCATCGCCGACACGACGCCATGAAGTCGGACGAGCAGACGCTGCCGTCGCCGTTTGACAACTGGTCGCCCGACATCGAGTCGATTCCGCGGCTCTCCGAAGGCGACCGCACCGAGACCATTTCGACCAGTGACGCGCGGGCAGCCCTCGCGACGCGCGCCGAGCTGCGCACGCATTTCCTCAACGTCCCGTTTCCGATTGTGCTCTTCTTTGCGTTCGTGACCGTCGTCCTCACGCACACGCCGATTTACCAAGTCTTTTTTGTCAACCATGGGATCTCGATCGCGCTCAGTCCGCTTCCCGCGGTATCTTTTTCACAATATTGTTCATTCGATGGATCACACAGTTGTGTAGGACACGGTCCAGCGCCCTGGGACCCTCGAATTTATGAACATTCGGACCGCCGCCGACTTTGAGAGCTGGTTTGAGTTTTCCTTGTTGCCCGAGATCTTTCCCGCCAAAGGCGGCAACAGTACGATTTGAAACGTTTTTTTGTATCAACTTGATAGAATGCTAGATTCGGCGTTGGAGAACGCGACCATTGGACGCATTGGCTCGTACAATCAAGTCGTCGGCGCCGTCGAAATCTCGGTGCTCAATGCCCCCAAGGCCAAGTGCCCGAGCGACGGTCAACTCGCGTCGCACTACGGCGCCTGCTACAATTTCGAGTCGAATTTTGAGATCACGGACGGCGACCTCCACACGCGCAACACGCGGCGCCAGCCATGGTATACGTTGTACCTTCCGCTGCAAGAGCCGTCACCGTACACCAAGTACAAATTTTGGCAAGAACACGGCAGCACCGGCGGCTACTACATCAACCTCGGTACGCGTCAAATCGACATCAAGATCACGACCTACAACGGCGAGCTCGACATGTTTACGTACCTTCGATTTGCGCTCGATTTTCAAGCTGGCGGCGCGATCGAGCCAAAGTACAGCGTGAATTCCGTGCCCGCCAACCCGTACGCCGAGTCGGCCATTAGCCTCCTCCCCGACGTCCTCGTGGCCTTGCTTGGCCTTCGGCTAGTCGTGCGTCGGCTCGTGCAGCTGGCGGCGCGTATGAAAGCGCGAACGGCGTGGGTCATGGGTGCTGACGCCATCGAATGGCTTTCGGTGGCCGCGCTCATCGTGTACTACGTCGCCTGGTTGCGCCTCTTTCAGCGCTGCTTTGCGTCCGATTTCGAAGACCAAGTCGACGCGCTGCGCACGTTCTACGACAGAGTGTACGCGCTGCCGGCCGCGGACCAACCGGAGGCCATGGCGTCGAGTCCGCAGCCGTCCGTGTCGGATTTTATGGACGGGTTTGCGCCGGCACTCGGCTTTTTGTACATCATGTCCATTCTCACGTGTCTTCAGCTCGCCGTCAAGTACGCGCGACCTTCGGTTCGATTGCTCATGCAGGTTGTATGTGTAGTGTCATGGCCGCGCTGCACTTTCATCCGACCATGAGCATTCTCAGCAACACGATCATAGCCAGCGTCAAGCGGCTGGGCACGTTCCTCTTCCTCTTCCTCCTTGTCGTGATGGCCCTAGCAACCTCGGGGGCCCTTCTTTTTGGTACCAAGCTCGAGGCGTTTGCGAGCCTTGGCGCGGCCATGATCACGTGCATCAACATGATCTTCAACGGCTACGAGTACGACAACATCAGGGACATCAATCCGCTCGCCGTCGTGTGGTACTGGCTCAGTCAGTCGACGATTACGCTCGTGCTTGTCAACATTATGCTCGCGGTCATCATCTCGGCCCACGAAGATATTGTCCACGTCGACCACGGGTATGACACTATTCGAGAGGTTGATTTTTGTAGCATTGGTATCATTTGTTCTGTGCTAGAAAACGGTCGTTTGTGCAAGAAATGCTATATGTGCTGTGCGACGTACTCCGCACCGACTGTGTCTGCAAGGGCCGCCACGTCCTGCGGCTCCAAGAGCGCTTGGCGATTGACAACGGCGTCCGAGTGTGGACAGCCGGCGACATTGCCCAGGCGATTGGTATCTCGGATGCGCAAGGTGCCCGCTGGGTTCGTACTCTCAAGCAGTTTGCAAGTGTGCACACGGCCCCAAAGGCTGACGCGACCGACGACGCTGCGACGTCATCGATGGACGAAATGGCGTACCGCCGGCGACTCGAAGACCGCATCAAATTCATGGACGCCAAGCTCGAAGTGCTCGTCGAGTACATTCAGCTCCACAATCAGCAACGGATGCTCCAAAATGTATAATCCAAATTGCATTTTCGATTTCTTGTATCCTAGTCGTTGCACTCAAAGAGAAGAGATCGCAAATTACCTCGATAGATATCTCTGCTTTTACATGCAATGGCTCAAAACCCTCTGTCGCTGAGTTTAGTAACCCTAACCCTATACACGCAAACTCTATATCCCTTGAAATGACAGGGCCCACACGACCCTTTGTGGATCGATCGCCTTTTCGTTTTTGGCGCACATGAATACATGGTGCGGTGACGCATCCTGCGTCATGCACACTCCAAAATCTAGTGGAAGGGATACTGGTCTGTCATTAGGCTCATATACACTGTTTATTCGTTGCTACCCACCTCCATACTATAACTACACACACAAAACCACAGCCAAATCGCATGTTTAGGCTTTACAGAAAGATGTTGCAACGTCACAGTACTTGGTCATGCACTCAAAGCGACAGTGCGTCCTAAGCGCACCAGACAAACGCAGTAAACTTGACGCAGTCGTCCTTGCCGTAGGGTAGCACTTGCTGTGTCAGCGGCCAAAAGCACACATTGTGGTTTGTGCCGCACACAAAAGCTGGCGCCGATGTCGGGGCAGTTGTCGGGGCAGTTGTCGGTGCCGGTGTTGGTAGGACAGTTGACGGCGTTGGGCTCGGTACCGCCGTTGGAGCGAGCGTGCCATTGCCTCGCACGTTGCTGTACTTTGACGTCGGGTACTCAAGGTTGTTGGCATAGAGCGCCATATTGTTTCTGCCATAAAAGTTGTAGGCTTGTGTGATGAGCGATCGGGCCGACGTGGCCGGCGCATCGGCGTCGCCAGCCCAGAACATGGTACCGCCGAGGTTATTCTTCTTGATGTACTGCAATTTGGCCGCCATGCTCGTTGGCGACTCGTACGATACAAACATCTTGGTTGTTGCATCGTAGCTGTAGGCAGCACCCACGACGGCGTCGTAGTACTCGGTCGCGCCTGGCAGCGGGAGCACCTTGTAGTCCCACGTCCCGAGCCCGTCGCCGGACGGAGCGACCCACGATCCATTGGTGGGCTTCGTAAACGTGGCGTAGAGGCCCTTTGTGTTTTCAAACGACCGGCCGTAGACTGGAATGCCGAGGACGATCTTGGTGCTCGGACACCCCCCGCGAATGTAGTCTTGGACCGCGCGGTCAATGCTGAACGACGTGCCATCGTTCGGGTGCTTGGGATCTGCGTACAAGTTGGCTTGGTGGTCCGTATATTCGCTCCAGTCGCCAGCCAAGTCGTACGCCATAATGTTGATATGGTCGAGCTGCGCGCAAATACCCGCGAAGTCCCAGTGGCCATAGTTGGCCGGGCCCGCGGGCGACGCGACGCTGAGCTCCGCCTTGAACGGCAGTGACGCGAAAGCTTTGCGGAATTCCTTGAGCACGGCAATGTAGTTGGCCATATCGTCCGGGCGGTGCGGCACAGGCGGCGCGTCGTTTCCACCTTCCACCGGGTACTCCCAGTCGATGTCGATAAAGTCGAGGCCGAGGTCCGTCAAGAGCGTCATGGCGTTGCGCACAAATGTCTTGCGGCCAGCGTCCGTGCTGAAGAGGCCGCTGAACTGGTCGCTCCACGTCCAGCCGCCGATCGAGAGACCAAACTTGGTGCCGCGAAACTTCTTCTTGAGCTGGTTGGCTTGACCAAACTGCCCGTACACGCTGCTTGGATCGTTGCCGTCCCCGGGATAGCGCAGGTTGAACGCGACGTTTGTGTCGTTGAAGGCAATGCTTCCGTCGGGCTGGAGCTTGCCAAACGCGTAGTTGATGTGCGTGATGCGCGACCAGTCGAGGCTAAAGATCGGCGCGCTCTGGACGACACTGCCCCACTCCATAAAGTAGACAACGTTCTTGTAGGGCACAGCGACCGCCACTGCGACTATCGTCAAGAGGCTCAGAAAACACTGTCCAAGCATCGCGCCAAACAAACAATGAGGCGTTTTGACCCATGAACCGTCGACAAGATACAGAATAAATGGAGCAGAGAGCGAATCAGATAGCGACTCGACGGGCCAACAAGCTTCACGCAGCTTCTACGTACACTATATTGTTCGAAGGTGCGGTGTACAGTCAGCGTTCCCCTAAGAAAGGCTTGGATACATGTAGCGGCATGGACGAGCCATAGCATCAGCGGCCCACTGCGCCTAATCCGTCGGGACTGTCGAGTTCCAAACGAAACCGTCTGAGTCTGAGTCGCTCTCCACGTGGTTCCTGCGCAAAAGTTAATCACAAGCGTGTGGCTCGGACGCGTTTCCTACTCACCGAGTAACCTTACTTCGCAGCGTTGCATGGTTAAACTGCTCACAACACGGCCTTCATACCTCGTGCATTGTTTTCCGAGTCAATCTCTGAGATATCGTACCACGAGGTCGCGTGTTCGTGAGCCGTTGGTGCAGGCACTTGCGGTTCGTGCAGGAGTCTTCCGATCATACTCCTCGCCTTCACGCTTGGACAGAAAGCTGTTGCTCATCAGTACAATCGCTTGAGTGTACTTCGATTACAATCATTTTTTTCATTTTGAAATTTCTTATGCTGCCATTTTCATCTACATGGCATCGGTGTCGATGCCATGTACGTGGTCATGAACGGCACTTTCTCGGTGTCTTGTGGTTTACGGAGCAAGCCAATGGCAAGCAATAACTTCTCAGCGTTTCAAGTTGGACTGGGTGGTCTTGGCGCGCTGCATGGAGCACGACATGAATTGGTGCAAATGTCCTGATTTTAGTGGTTGTAGTTAGCGAATTCCGGGGTAAAAGCATACGGAAAAACAACATAGCTTCGCGATCTGTCCAATGCCTCAGCTCTTCACGAGCATCTTGGTCAACGGCCGCGACCTGACGCAGGCACGGGCGCCGCTTGGACTCCGAAGCCGCAACCTGATCCGGATTGGCATTTACTTTTTCGCAGCACGGGTCGCGAGTCGTTCCTACCCTCGACATTATATCTTTATTAAAGAAATAGCTACACAGGAGCGAGCAGAAGAATGATGAGCAGCAGCCAAAACGCTACCGGCTGCCAGCCATGCCCAAGGTATTTTGCCACATAGAAGCATTGCCTTCGTCATCGCCGCCCACGACTCAAGCCGGCTGTATTATACGACCTTCTTAGCCACGTGATACATAATTTTCCTGGCGACTGGAATGAAAACAGGGGCCACTTGACCAATGGGATGACCAACCTTCAGACACCACATGCTCCACTCACAGCGGTCAAAGATGGTGCCAAGCTGACAGGATGAAAGTCCCATTCTTTGTTTGTTCGGTGCCCATAGAAAGCTAATCGCGACCGGTCACAACAATCGTACGGTGCACAAATTCACATAAGTTTTCTTGCTCTCTCACTCATGTTTCATGAAATTGCATTCTATCGCAACGCGTCCCAAGCTCGCGTCCCAGAGTTAGTTTGCACATCACTGCCAAGTGCATCTCTAAAGTACCTGTGGAGGGTCGTCAAAGTTGGGCGTCAACATTCTTGATCGAGGAGCTTGAAGTAGGAAATTCGCTCTCGATGCAAAGATTGGTCAGAGTGGTTTGATGGCATCGAGCATCGACATGGTATCGTTATCAACTTTCGCTGTGCAGGTCGAGTAGCTACGACTTGGGCAAAGAACGGCATTTAATCCATCCAGGCCCATCTGAGAAATTCAGGATAAGAACTTGGAGCACAGTGGTGAAGACTGCAGCGTATCGAGAGCTCTCGATACGCTGCAGCCTTGCCGTCGCTCGAGCCAAACACTACGTTGTGCAAAATGCAACATGGAGGTCGGCGAGCATGGAACCATGACGCAATCACAACCTTTCTGACGTGGCAACTGAGAGCTCAACTGACTCGCTCTGTGCTACCGTGGTCGGCTGACGCATTGGCAAAGATACGCCCCATTCAAACAGTGGGATCATCACGCTGTTCCAGCTGCCGGCTTCAACATCTCGCCAGCCTTTAATTGGACACACCGTTGAACCATCCGCAACATCCCACTTGCAGTAGAGCGTCTTGCATCGCCATCCAACTCTACAAGTGCACCTCTTGACGCCTGTGCCAAGCTACTTGAAGACATGGTTTCGATACCGCAAGTGCCTCCGCTGTGGGCTCACAACTGCATTTGCCATGACGGTACCAACAACCACATATGTCGAGGCGCGGTCACCGATGGACTCGACCGTCCTCAAGATCCAAGACGACGGAAAGGACATCCAGACCGACGCGCCCACCGACGTCGTCGACGGCTGCTCCGTACCGTTCATGTTTCTCATGTGCGCGCCATGCATGGCGATGAACATGGCGTGGGCTGCGCAGTGGGCAGCCCTCGGTCCCTTGCTTCAAATTCTTTTGCCATCGACCGCGGTCCAGCTCGTCCAACTCGTCGGCCCCGTCACCGGCGTCATTGTAACGCCGGTCGTTGGTGTCCTCAGCGACAATTGCACGTCCAAGTACGGTCGCCGACGTCCCTTTCTTTTTTGGGGCGCCATCTCGAGCGCGCTCTGCTGGCTCGTCATGATGTTTTCCGTTGACATTGGCGAAGCGCTGGGCGACGCAAGCGCGACTCAAATCGCCTCGAACCCCGAGACGGCGTCGCGCAAGTGGACAACATTCGTTGTCGTGCTCTGCTACGTCTGGATGGACATCACGGTCAACCTCACGCAGGTGCCCAACTCGCTCATGATTGCCGACTTTGCGGGCCATCGCCAAGTCACTGCCGCGTCCGTCAACGGTGCGTATGCGACCGCCGGCTCGTTCTTTGTCTCAGGCTACATTCTGGCTTGCGGCCCAGCTCACCAGTCGATCAAGCGGTTCCTCTCCGTGCTCATTGCCATCATGCTCGTAACGTGCTTGACCGTGTGCGCGTTTGTCAAGGAAAAGCCCGTCGACCGCGTCGCGCTCGGGTCCGCCACCAAGCGCGAGCAGATCGCAACCGCCTTTGCCGCTGTCTGGAACGGCATCCGGCTCCTGCCCAAGCACCTCGCTATCTACTGCGTCATTATCGTCTTCTCGCAGTATGGTTTCACGGCCTACAGCGGCGCCAAAGGACAATTTTTCGGGATTGTCGTCAAGGGTGGTGTCTCGGACGGTGCCGATTCGTGCGGCCAAGACGGCAGCCCCGCGTGTTCGGCGCAACAGACGGCGTTCAACGACGGTGTCGAGCTTGCGGGCGGCTACACGGACACGATCTACAGCTGCGTGGGGCTGCTGGCGTTAATGGCGCTCCCCTTCTTTGTGCGCAAGTTTGGTGTCAAGGCCGTGGTGACGACGGCGCTGGTGCCCCAAGTGCTCTTGTGCGTCCTGGCGTTTTGCAAAATCGTGGCCATCGACATGATCATTGTTATCACGTGCAGCATCCCCCAAAACGTCATTTTGTACATGGTGATGCCGATCATCATCCATGTGATTGGCCGCAGCACGGACAACAACCTCGGTATGTTTGCCGGCGCACTCAACTCGGCGCTTTGCGCGGGCCAGTTTCTCAACTTTATCTTTTCGTCCGTGCTCGTCCTGTCGCCCATGGGCTACGCGCTTCCCGTTCTCGTTGGCGGCATCCTCTCGGCCGTCGCGTTCTTGGTATCGCTCTTTGTCTGGGACATCAAGTCGTACACGATGTAAGACAACTTGTTCATTGTTTGCGTTTTTACAAATGTGGAGTGTTTTGGTTTGGAAAGTCGGTCGACGACAGAATTGCAAGCGGTCAAAGGTGACAAGCACTTGGCCGCGGAAGAGAAACGGCGTGCAGCACGGTACGTCTCGTAGTGACGCAACCTTGACGAGTTTCCTGTGTCGAGCCGTTGCGCATGCCGGCAGACCTTACGAGTAGTCGATTTTTTTTTCATTCCAGTCACATAAAGAGACTGCAGGTTGCCGAAGACTACAACCGCGTTGAGAAGGGCCATTCGCACCATTCGAAGCAACAACGCTTGGCCTCGTCTGACTCAACAGTTAGGAGTACTTGCGGCCTCTAGTGAGAGGTTTACTCGACTCAAGAAGGATGCGTGCATTTTTCAACAAGGATCATGCAATTCACATTAAACGGCCCAGAGGTTGTTGCCCTTAAAGTGCAAAGCTGCTGTTTACGGGCACCACACGAACGAGGTAAACTTGACGCAATCTTCTTGCGAATACGGGAGCGCTTGCTTGGTGAGCGGCCAAAAGCACGTGTTGGTGTTGCCGGCACAGTCGTCGCTCGGAGCGCTCGTCGGTTGCGACGTCGGCTGCTTCGTGGGCTTGTCGGTCGGCTTCTTTGTCGGCTTGTCGGTCGGCTTCTTTGTCGGCTTGTCGGTCGGCTTCTTTGTCGGCTTGTCAGTAGGCTTCTTTGTCGGCTTGTCCGTTGGTTGCTTCGTGGGCTTGTCGGTTGGCTGCTTTGTCGGCTTGTCGGTCGGCGCGCTCGTCGGCTTGTCGGTCGGCATGGTAGTCGGCTTGTCGGTCGGCATGGTAGTCGGCTTGTCGGTCGGCATGGTAGTCGGCTTGTCCGTCACGGGCGCATCGGTGATCGGGTCCACCGTCACGGGCGATGACGTCGGTTTGTTGCTGCTCGGCGCCGGCGTCGGGTCCGTCGACGACCCATTCCGGATGTTGTCGTACTTGGACGTCGGGTAGTTGAGGTTGTTGGCGTCGAACGCCATGTGTTCCTTTCCAAACGTGTCGTAGACCTGCGTGATGAGCGACCGCGGGGACCCGGCCTTGGCGTCGGCGTCGCCCGACCAAAACATGGTGCCGCCGAGGTTGTACTTTTTGATGTAGTCGAGCTTCATGGCGAGACTCTCGGGCGAGTCGTAGGACGTAAAGGTCTTGGAGGCCTCGTCGTAGCTGTAGGCGGCGCCGAGCTTGGCGTCAAACACCTCTTTGGCACCCGCACGGGGAAGGGCCTTGTAGTCCCAGACACCCTTGCCGTCGTTGCCAGAGACCCATGAGCCGGCCGTCGGCGGCGTGAAGTTGTCGTAGAGGCCTTTCGTACCCTCAAACGACCGACCGTAGGCCGGAATACCCATGACGATCTTGTTGCTCGGGCACCCGCCTTTGATGTAGTCTTGGATCGCGCCGTGGGCCGAGTACTTGGCACCGTCCGGGTGGGTCGGGTCTTCGTACAAGTTGGCCTGGTGGTCCGTGTACGTGCTCCAGCTGCCCGCCATGTCGTACGTCATAATGTTGATAAAGTCGAGCTGCTCGCACACCGCCTTGAAGTCCCAGTGACGGTAGTTGGCAGGACCCGCCGGCGACGCGACACTGAGCTCGGCCTTGAACGGCAGCTTGGCGAGCTCGGTGCGGATCGCGGTCAGAAGCGCCACAAAGTTCTTCATGTCATCTGGACGGTGCGGCACGGGCGGTGAGTCGTTGCCGCCCTCGACAGGGTACTCCCAGTCAATGTCGATAAAGTCGAGGCCGAGGTCGAGCATGAGCTTGACCGAGCTCTTGGCAAACGTCGTGCGACCGGTCTCGGTGCTGGCGATGCCGCTGAACTGGTCGCTCAAGGTCCAGCCGCCGATCGAGAGGCCAAACTTGGTGCCGCGAAACTTCTTCTTGAGCTTGTTGGCTTGACCGAATTGGCCATACACGTTGTTGCCCGTGTCGCTCCACGAGTCGTCGGGGTAGCGCTTGTCGGTCGCTGCCCACGTGTCGTACAAGCCGACAGTGCCGTCGGCGGCGGGCTTGCCAAAGGCGTAGTTGATGTGCGTGATGCGAGACCAGTCGAGATCGAAAATGTGAAAGTTGCGACCGTAGATGCTCCACTCCATAAAATAAACGACGTTCTTGAGGCCGGTGGCATCGACAGACGACGCTGCGATCGCGAGCGCAAGCAGCGAGGCGGGCTTGAGAATGGTCACCATGATGCAGACGAGGAAATTTGGAAAATGAGAAGAGTGTTTTGGTGTTGAGCGTGGGGTCGTCTGAGAAACAGGATCGAAGCGAGATCTGGTATGGCGGACGGTTCGAAATGGCGCCATAGGCGTGTGGACGGGTGTCACACAGTGGTACGTGCACCCAAGATGCTGCAAGTCGGGTCAAAGACGCGTCATCGCTGTCGCGGATCGTCACGCTCTATGCATCCGCGCTAAAAGCGCGAGTGGTACATGGTATGTTCTAAATCAACTCGACGAATAGAGGCAGACCTATCGTCGGACAACACTCGACACAGGACATATAAAAACCAACATTTGTGTCAGTCTCAGCCACAGCGTAGCCGCTAGATACGGTTTTTTGTCGTCGCTCTCGGTTCACCACGTGTGAGCAGTCCACACGAGGTGCAAATGTAGTTGCTCATCGGCTCCAACTGGCAACACACATTGAAAAATAATGAAAAGATACGCAGCGGTGGCCGTCGCTAAACCGCCACCACGATGTTCTAAATCAACTAGACGAGGCACTTCTATACATCGGAAGTTCAAGTCGTGTCGCTTCGTCTGATGCTTCACAAGATGCACTACCACTCTTGTGGGATGGATGCCATCTTCGTATTACTGTTTTGTTTCTGGGGGCGGTGTCGCGACCACGTGGTCTACCGTGGGACCGATTGGCGTTGGGCTAGGGAGCACGGACGCAGAAGATGGCGACGCGCTCATGATCCAGCTTGCGACGTGGGGAAGGAAGAACCCCGAGTACTCTAAATACTGCTCGCCGCCGTCCTACATCACACCCACTTAAAAAACCGTCGTAATAGACAATATTGTCGTGCGAGAATATACCTTTTTGAGGAGCGAGGCATCCTTTGCAATCATATTGGATACACCCACAAAGAGCCACATGCATGCCAGAAAGACGTACGGGAACCAGTGCTGGCCCATGATTGTGTACGAGAGGTACACGAGAAACTCGCCAAGAAAATTTGTGTTGCGACACCACTTGAACCAGCCGTCCCTAGTCCAATATTTGCATGACAACAATGTACATAAACATGTCGCACGTGATCAAGCCCGGCTTGTAGCGCAGTACAAAGTACTTTTGCGTGTCTGCCACCATCATGAGCACGAGGCCCAACGTGTGCATCGATATGCAAATGGCAAGGACCCACGCAGCGAGCTCGTTGTGGTTGGAAATCAGGAAATAGCCGCCGCACCAATGCGCCGTAAACGCCACCAGGCCCAGAAGCGCGGACGGGATCGTCATGGGCTTGGTCCAGAGACGGTCGGGGAGGATCTGGTCTTTGAGCAGCCAGCAAAGCCCGTACGTGCCTTGGTCTACGCCAAGAGCATTGGCGTTCAAGGCAGTCATAGCGTAGTACCGGCGAGAATCACAAATGCCGAGACGGACCAGTTGTCGTAGTAGTGCATGAGGAGGAGGAAGAAGGGAAACGTGAGGCCCTTGTGAGCGTTCATGAGGTGGCGCAGCTGGATGGGCCGCGGACCGCCGATGCAGTCGGTCATCATGTAGCCCCTCGCCGGGATCACATATCGCTCATAGAACGTGCGCAGCATGTCGGTCCGCGCAAGGATCGTGTCGTCAGTATACTGATGTCTCGAATATATTTAGACCAACTAGGTCCGACCTACTAGGAACTCGCCATTTTGGACAACCGACTGCACGGTTTAGAAACGGGGCTCCTACGCGGGTCTACGGCGATGGCAAGTGCGCTCTTACGTCATTGCTGATGGGCATCATCACTGCGAGTAGGCTTCAAGCGCCCAATATTTGTGTGGCGAAGTACACATTTCTTGTCGCTACCGATATACTGTACGTGCCGTTGATCTCGTCACCTTGCCCCGAGCAAAAGGAACCGACCACAGCAATCATGCCTATCCTATTGATGGAGCTGCATGATACAGCTCCAGCAACTCGACCCAATGATGCGCTGCGAAGTGCAGACGTGCCACTCTCGAGTAAACTCTTCTGCAAAGTCGATCTGCAACAAGACGCACACAGTTCTTAGTGGTCATGGAAATAAAAAGGACGATACGATGCAGGAATGTGAGACACTAAGACACTTTGGATCGACTAGGGGCACCACACAAACGTGCCTTTGAACTTGTCGCAGTCGCTCTTGGTGTACGCAAGCGGCAACTTGGTCAGCGGCCAAAAGCACGTGTTGCGGTACCCGGCGCACGCCTCGCTCGATGGACGGTGCGGCGCGACCGTCTGCGTAGGTGCGTCCGTCGCTGGCGCTTCCGTTGCGTCCTCTTCCGGTGTGTCCGTGGCTGCAGGCGGCGCGCTCGTCGCAAGTACCGACGGCGCTCGCGTCGCAACTGCTGCAACCGCCGGCGTCTCGGTGCCCGACGACGAGCTGTTGCGGATGTTGGCGTACTTGGACGTCGGGTACGCTACGTTGTTGTCGTACAATGCCAGCTTGTCACGGCCAAAGAAGTCGTGTGCCTGCGCAATCAGCGACCGCCCTGATGCCAACGGCGCGTCGGCGTCGCCCGCCCAAAACATGGTGCCACCGAGAGCGTACTTGTCAATGTACTCGAGCTTGGCGGCGAGGCTGCGGGGCGTCTCGTAGGACGTAAAGACGCGCGAATTGGCGTCGTAGCTGTAGCCGGCGCCGAGCTTTTCATCGTAGAGCTCGGTCGCGCCCGGGCGCGGTAAGATCTTGTAGTCCCAGACGCCGGCGCCGTCACTGCCCGAGACCCACGAGCCGGTGGTCGGCGCTGTAAACGGCGTGTACAAACCGTGTGAGTTTTCAAACGACCGGCCATAGAGCGGGATGCCCATGACGATCTTCTCGCTCGGACAGCCGCCGGAGATGTAGTCTTGCACTGCGCGGTCGATCGAATATTGCTTCCCAGATGGATGCTGCGGGTCCGCAAACAAGTTGTTTTGGTAGTCGGTGTACGCACTCCAGCTGCCAGCGAGGTCGTACGCCATCAAGTTGACATGGTCGACGAGCCCACACACGGATGGAAAGTCCCAGTGCGCATAGTTTTCGGGTCCGGCTGGCGACGCGACGCTGAGCTCGGCGAGGAATGGCAGTGATGCGTACGCGTCACGAATAGCTTGCAAAAGGAGCACAAAGTTGGCCATGTCGTCAGGTGAGTGCGGAATCGCGTTGCCGCCTTCGACGGGGTACTCCCAATCAATGTCGATAAAGTCGAGGCCGAGGTCGAGCATGAGTTGCACCGCGCTCGATGCGAACGTTCGCCGGCCCATCTCGGTCGCCGCAAACCCGCTAAAGAGGCCACTGAGCGTCCAGCCGCCGATCGAGAGCCCAAACTTGGCGTGCCGGTGCATCTTTTTCATCTTGTTGGCGTGCCCGAATTGGCCATAGACATTGTTCCCGAGGTCGTTCCACGAGTCGCCGTGGTCAATGTAGCGCTTGTCGGTCGCGGACCACGTGTCGTAGAGCTGCACGGTACCGTCGGCGTTGGGCTTGCCAAAGGCGTAGTTGACATGCGTGATGCGCGACCAATCGAGGTCGAATATGTGAAAGTTGCGCGCGTAGATGCTCCACTCCATAAAGTAAACGACGTTCTTGAGGCCGTCCCGGGCGACGCACGGCGCGACGGCGGCGGCGATGGCAAAGAGCTTGGAGAGCACGCCCATGGTAGCAATGGCGGGACGGAGGCAAAAGCGAAAATGAACTCGAGAATGGGAGTTTTGCAAAATAAGTTTCATGACGTGGCAGCACGAGCGCGATGAAACGACTTGGCAACGACTTTTTGAGGTTCGCCCGAGATACCGAGGAAGCTGGCAACTGCGAAAGAACCACCGGTGGCGGAAGGACGGGCAAGCGCCCGTTGGCTGCCTTCGAAGGCGCCACGCGAGCAGAGTCTGTCGATCAAACGCACGTTCTGGCTGTTGCATCAACGGGAGGCACTTGGTCGTGACGATCACTCGCTGCAACGACCTGATCTCGGAACCGACAGAGTCTTGTGAAGGGTCGCCCCACGGCAATGACGACTCGCTGTAACACGGGCAGAATACCAGGGATGGTTGTCGCATTTCTTTGGTCGAGATGGACTGTATTGTACATTGCTTTTGTCATTTTATACATATCGCTTGTGAGACGCTTGATACGGAGCTGCCACCGAGCATTGAAAGCTTGGAAAGGGTGGGACCGTTCGAGGGTGAGAATCAAGATGGAAGCCTTCAACTGAGAATGCGAGAAACGACGTGCTGGTTCCGACGCCTCCGGAGATTTTTGGTTGCACTCGGATTGAAGCCCAAAACCGATTCGGTGCGCATGATCTTTGTATCAAGTTGAAAGTCGCCGCTCATTGGATAGCTCTTCAGCGTTTCTGGGGTCTCCAAATGACGACAGGGATGCCTCCAAGTCGAACGACTTTGCACGAACGCCTCGTACCAAGTATGTCATGTGGGTTTTGGCGAGTGGCGCCTCCCTAGTTCTTATCGTTGGACACACTATTTTCGGTTCATTTCGTCGTATTTTCTGGTCCAAACATTACAGTCTGTGGAATCCAATCTTGACATCGGAGGGATGGCGCGTGCACAGTGTGAGTTTTTGTGGCGCGTCGTTCGTGGCGCGGGCTCAGATGCGATGGCGATAGTCGGTTGGCGCAACATGCACGAACGTTCGCCTTTATCGACTGGCACATGCGCGCGTTTATTGACACATTTGGTGTGGTACGAACCAAACCATGTTGATTGATGCAACAGTTCGAAGACCGTTTGCGAAGGCTCAAGTACCACGGCACATCCGACTTGTGCTCGTACCGTTGCCGGTACAGTCCCGATGAAAGGTGATGCGTCCCTAGAGTCTATCGCGTCGCCAAAACACGCTTGGTGAGTCTCCGAATATATAGGGTACATCAGTATCCTATATATTCGGAGACTCACCAAGCGTGTTTTGGCGACGCGATAGACTCTAGGGACGCATCACACAAAAGTGCCTTATCAACCCGGCGAAAATCTCAACAATTTTTTAAAGTCTCCTTGAAAAGCCCAACGCATCGCATATACTCGGGAATTTTGAGAAGGGCGCTATCCATTCGAACCTGTGCAAGTCAACAATTGCGTTGGTAGTTCGGTGCGATCTTTGCCGTTGGCCGTAGACAGTATCACTGTACCGCGCCAAAAAGCCGGTGCACGGTCGCTTCTGACCGCACATTTTTCTGCAAACCCAGCTGTTGTCGCAAAAGAGTGCGCCGATGATGATGCGACCTACGCGGATCGAACGCATGAGACCTCGCAAGAAGCGGTCATCCCTGATCGAACCCTCCGGCTTGTTGTCTCGCAGCGGCCCACACATCCTGCACCGTAAGTCCTCATTAACCAAATTTCCTTGTCTGCATCATGGTGACCATTCTCAAGCCCGCCTCGCTGCTTGCGCTCGCGATCGCAGCGTCGTCTGTCGATGCCACCGGCCTCAAGAACGTCGTTTATTTTATGGAGTGGAGCATCTACGGTCGCAACTTTCACATTTTCGATCTCGACTGGTCTCGCATCACGCACATCAACTACGCCTTTGGCAAGCCCGCCGCCGACGGCACTGTCGGCTTGTACGACACGTGGGCCGCGACCGACAAGCGCTACCCCGACGACTCGTGGAGCGACACGGGCAACAACGTGTATGGCCAGTTCGGTCAAGCCAACAAGCTCAAGAAGAAGTTTCGCGGCACCAAGTTTGGCCTCTCGATCGGCGGCTGGACCTTGAGCGACCAGTTCAGCGGCATCGCCAGCACCGAGACCGGTCGCACGACGTTTGCCAAGAGCTCGGTCAAGCTCATGCTCGACCTCGGCCTCGACTTTATCGACATTGACTGGGAGTACCCTGTCGAGGGCGGCAATGACTCGCCGCCCGTGCCGCACCGTCCGGATGACATGAAGAACTTTGTGGCGCTTCTGACCGCGATCCGCACCGAGCTCGCCAAGCTGCCGTTCAAGGCCGAGCTGAGTGTCGCGTCGCCGGCGGGTCCTGCCAACTACCGTCACTGGGACTTCAAGGCGGTGTGCGAGCAGCTCGACTTTATCAACATTATGACGTACGACATGGCGGGCAGCTGGAGCGCGTACACGGACCACCAGGCCAACTTGTACGAAGACCCGACCCACCCGGACGGTGCCAAGTACTCGGCCCACGGCGCGATCCAAGACTACATCAAAGGCGGGTGCCCGAGCAACAAGATCGTCATGGGTATTCCGGCCTACGGTCGGTCGTTTGAGGGTACGTCGGGTTTGTACGGCAAGTTTACGCCGCCGACGGCCGGCTCGTGGGTCTCTGGCAACGACGGCAAGGGTGTCTGGGACTACAAGGCCCTTCCCCGTGCGGGTGCCAAAGAGGTGTTTGACGCCAAGCTCGGCGCCGCCTACAGCTACGACGAGACCTCCAAGACCTTTACGTCCTACGACTCGCCCGAGAGTCTCGCCATGAAGCTCGACTACATCAAAAAGTACAACCTCGGCGGCACCATGTTTTGGTCGGGCGACGCCGACGCCAAGGCCGGGTCCCCGCGGTCGCTCATCACGCAGGTCTACGACACGTTTGGAAAGGGGCACATGGCGTTCGACGCCAACAACCTCAACTACCCGACGTCCAAGTACGACAACATCCGCAACGGGTCGTCGACGGACCCGACGCCGGCGCCGAGCAGCGACAAACCGACGTCATCGCCCGTGACGGTGGACCCGATCACCGATGCGCCCGTGACTGACAAGCCGACCGACAAGCCGACGAAAGAGCCTACTGACAAGCCGACAAAGCAGCCAACCGACAAGCCCACGAAGCAGCCTACTGACAAGCCGACAAAGAAGCCGACGGATATGCCGACGACCAAGCCCACGAAGAAGCCGACGGACAAGCCGACGTCGCAACCGACGAGCGCTCCGAGCGACGACTGCGCCGGCAACACCAACACGTGCTTTTGGCCGTTCACCAAGCAAGCGCTCACCTACAGCAAGGAGGACTGCACCAAGTTTACCTCGTTCGTGTGGTGCCCGTAAACAGCAGCTTCGTCCCTCGTTTCTAACATTTTGATGTCAATTTGATACCATGTTTCCTTACATCTTGTATTTGGCGTATCCTATACCGATATACCTGGTATAATACGGCAAAATGGCCGGGTCGCAATGCGGGGTGTGGTTACAAGCGGGCTAGGGTACTGAGTACAGCACTCTCTTTCTGCAGCGTTCACAAAAGAATGGACAATGCTATACATTTGAATATGAATGAAAGAAAATACTCTACTCGCTGGCGGCATGAACGGTCCAGATTGCGCGGCCGTCTTCGCCCGGGATGCGTCGCAGGCCTGAGAACGTTTTTGCGGGATCGCGCTTCTCAAAGAACACTTCGAGCTGCCGGAGCTGCGGGCCGCGAAGTCCGACCATTTCTTTGGTCGCCTTGGCTTCTTGCATGAGCTTGTTGACGTTGCCTTCCATTTCGCCAAAGACCGATTCGATGCGGTCGACGATCTCAGTCGCTGCCTTTGGCACCCCCAGGACGCCGAGGAGCTTGGTGATCTTGTCGACGCCGCGAAGGAGCGTAAAGCCGCCTTGAATCAACGGCAAGTACCGGTCAACAAACGTAAATAGTCGTCAGTCTTGGTCGTAATCGCAATCGGGTAGACGCCTTTGACCGGCGCCAGGTCACCAGTCGCTTCGTCCAAAAGGTAGAGGTACATGGTCTCCTGCATAAAGAGCTTGTTCTTGAGCGACCCCATCGCGTCGACTTGGCCGCGAAAGCAGTCGAAAAGTGACGTGGCTTTGACCTCGGGGGTCGCCTTGGTTTTGGCAAGTGTTGTCACAAACTTGAGGATGTCGTCTTGGAGTTTGGCGGGCGGACCAGGCGCGCTCGCTCCAGCTTTGCACGGGAGCAGAACAAAGCTTGTTGGGACGTTGACTTCGGTGGCTTCGTACATGGCGTGCATGAGCGTCTTCTTGGACGTCGTGATCGCCGACAGCACCTTGTCCGTGTTGCTGTCGTCATGGGCAATAATGCGCGCGCTCGACTCGTTGATGCTGCGCGTCAAGCTGTCTTTGACCTTGGCGACTTCTTCGAGGATCTGAAAACTCATGTCGGACGAGGCGCCCGTCGATTCCGGCGTCGTAAAGTACGGGTGGTCGAGGACGTCCGCCAAGGGCAGTCGATCCGCTGGCGCAACGCGCAGCAAGCGGCCAATGAGGTCCCGGGCCAAAGGGTGGGGTACCTTGGCGGCAATGCGGGCGGCAAGGGCGTCGTCGGTCCAGCGCAGCGCTTGGAGCATCTGGCTCGCCTCGAGGTCTTCGTCGCGGTTGGACAGAAGAAGCGGCGTGTTGTCGAGACTGCAGAGCTTGAAAAGCATGCATCCGAGCGCCCAGAGATCAAACGCTGGTGTGGCGTGTACGAGGGGATAGGGTAGCGGTGGCAAATCGGAGGCGCTGTCGCCGTAGAAGGCGCGAATCACGACGTTGTCGGGGCTGGGCTGCATCTTGGCCCAGAGCTCGCGCTGGTTGTGCTGGTGCTTCCACGCGGTGCCCCAGTACACTTGATGCAGTTCTTGCTCCTTTGGCGACGAGAGCTTGTAAAAGCACTCTGGCGGAAGCGTCCCCGAGGTAAATTTGGCCCCGAGTGCTGGCTGCCCTTGGGGGCAGGATGCGTCGAGGTCAATGAGCTTGAAGCTGTCGCCGAGGCGAAGCACCTTGTGCATTTTCACATCGCCGTGAACGACGTTGGCCGCATGCAGCGTCGACAGCGCCTTTGCCACTTGCTGCATGCACTTGCGCGTCTTGGTCGCGGACGGCCGCTCCTTGCGGAAGACATCTTCGAGCGACCGCGCGGCGGGCGGCATCACAATCAGATGCTTGTAGTCGCTCAAGTCGAGGTACTCGGTCGGTGCAAAGCTTGCGAGCGCCGATGCAATTTCGCCCGGGGTCGCGGTCGGAAGGTGCGGCACAATGTACGCCGGGTTGAGGACCGTGGTGTCGCGCGCTGCGAGCTCGCGGCGGTAGTCGGCGGGGAAGCGCATGAACTTGAGCGCGACTTTGTACTTTTCGCCAAAGCTTTCGCTGCAATAGCGCAGCCACTCGAACTCGCTCAAGGCGTGGTTGTGGTCCTTATCCCAGCGCGCGTACGTCTCGTTGAGTTGCTACTCACAATCCCATCAAGTCAAAAAATGAAGAATTCAAAACAGCGGTACATGGTCGAGCGACTCGTTGTCGGCGCTGTGGTTGGTAAGGTGCTGACTCGCAGCCTTGAAGGCCGCGCAGTCGAGACCGACGTCCGGTACCGCGTACATGGCATAGAGCTGCTGATAGAGGCGGTAGTCGGTCGCAAACACCACCATCGCACTCTCACTTCGGTGCAATGGCGGCCCCGTGTAGAGCTCGTACCGGCCACAAAACATGAGCTCGTCGTAGAAGAAATACCGCGTTGCCTTGTCCGCAATGCTGAGCGCACGCCGCCCTTGCTCGTCTTTCGAGAGCGAGAATCGCGAGTAGAGTTCGGTCTTGGCCAAGGACGCAAACATCGGCTGGTGAAATAGCTCCTTGAGCACATTCGTGCGAAGCCCGTCCGGGAGCTTGAGCGAGCAGTCGAGAAGCGTCGTCCACGTATGGTGCTGGTGTTGGCCGACGTCTTCGAGGACCGACGTGTCGACCGCGACTGCATTGACAAACGATGTCGTCGTCTTGACGCTGAACGGAAGGTCCGAGAGGATGATGTTAAGCGCCGCTGGAAGCGTGAGCTTGGGCGCGACATGCTGCAAGACGTGCTTGCCCTAGTGATCAATTGTTGATATGTTGATACAAATCAAAAAAGGTACCTTGAATTTGAGCTGCACCGGGGCTCGGGCTTCGAAACACGCAACAGCCGCCGACAGCGCCTTGCGTTGCAGTGCATACTCGTACGCTCGAAGCTTGTGCTGCGTCTACGAGATGATGTTCGACCAAATGGTCTATAGTAACGCGGGTACCTGCGGCAAGATCGCGTTCGGGTCGGCACCGTGGCTCAAAAGATAGCGCAAAATGCACAACTTGGTGTCGTCGGTCGGCGTGCGGGGCGTTGCGTGCTGGATCGCATAGTAGAGAAAAAGCTCCATCTAGAAGCGTGGACAAAAATGTCTACAATATTTTGAGACGAGTGACGCACCATGTCCGAAGCGAGCGGCGTCGCCAGCTGCTCGATCAAGAAAATTGCCATGGGCGCGCGGCCATAGGCAATGGCAACGACCACCGCCGAGTACGGTGTCTCCATGAGCTCCTCCTACGAACAAGTCTAGCCAATGTAACCGAAAAGAGTATGTACCAAATGCCACACGGGATAGCTGCCGGTAGCACCGAGCACGACGAGCTGGCGCACGACTTCGTCGCAGCCGGCCTTGACAGCCAAGCAGAGAAGGTATTCCTTCCACTAGGCACCTCCAAATTAGACATTGTGTGAACATACCAGACGATCTACCTGGAGGCGCCAGTCGACAAGACTAGCCGAGCCTTTTGGGGACTTGACCGTCACCGATTTGGGATGCACGAGGGCCGCCCACTTGCGAGGGTTTACCGCCGTGAGGATATCGTCGAGCTCGTCCAACTTGGCTTGCTATACGGAAACAGTGAGAAACGACAAGCCCCACAAGTCGTACATCGAAGGGTTGCTTGGCGTCGACAGCCACGAGCAACGCGATTGCGTCGGCGAGGAAAGCAGGTTGAGAGAGGCGGTCGTCTTCACGCTTGCTTGACATGCGGCGCGTCGCCCCCAGAGGCACCATCGGGTGCACCTATCGTCATTGCATGAGCCTCTTGATACCGACGGGCGACGTGTACCAAGGCGGGGGCGTCAGTGTCCGTCGTGATCTGAAGCATCGGTGGCTGCATCGTCGGTGTATTCGCAAATGACGATCGTCCAGCGCTCGTTAGCCGTGGTCAACGGCAGTGAAAACGCATCATTCTCACTTAAGGCGTTGGGCGGAGATACAAGGGCAGTGTTACTTGTTGTCATCACGGAGGCCCATGTCGCGATTGGTGGCGAGTCAAGATTCCATTTGGTCCTTGGAAGACAGCTTGTATAATATGCATTGATCATGGGCTGGAAGCCAGCGACGAAGTGCCGCCAGTACATGTACATTTTAACGAGAGAAGTGCCCCAGTGATGTCAGAGAAGTCGTCTTGTGGGCCACGTCTGGCCTCGAGCCTCGCACGACGGAGCACAAGAGCCGTGTTTGGACCTGGCACTGAGCACGACATTAGGAGGAAAAATCTCCAGTCTTATCTCTCGTGTATCGCCCGATATACTCTCTAGCCTTCGAGTCCATTTTTATGTAATGACAGAACATCTGACACGGGACGCATGTTGAGTCAAGGCGTGCTGAATCGAATCTTGCAGCACTGTGCCGCACTGGTCGAGCAGCTGAAGCATACACTCCGTGTACTTGCTTGGTGTCAGAAACTCGTCCGTGTCGGTGGTCACCACAGGTGGCGTCAGCCTCGCATACGAGAGTAGCCGGGTTTTCTCCGGTCCTGTCTTGAGCAACACCAGCCTACAGAGACACATTGAATCTGGCCTGTGGATCGTACGAGGTCGTACCACGAGCACTGGTTGCCGACAAATGGAGCCGGGCGCGGTGGGTACAAGGCATCTTCGTGGATCGATCGGCACACAAAAACGGCGCGCGTCGGCTCGAGAAACCGTCGCGACAAGAGCCGCCCGTCTTCGGGTGGCAGCGCCGATGCCTGCATCGTGGCCGTGTAGCGCAGGTAGCTGATATCGCCATCGATCTCCAGTTCCTACATCTGTCCATGAGCATCGTCATTTCTGAAGGTATTTCCATGCCTGGGAAAAGTGCGATACGAGCGGTCTCGGTGGCAGCTCGTGCGTAAACAGACTCATCCGCCAGCGTCGCCATGTCCACGTCTCACGACGAACACTCGACGAGATGGGCGCCGAGCGAGCCGTCAACAGGTTGCACGTAGCGCTTGCGTACTGGACTATTTGACGTTTCGAAGTCGTGCAACCCGTGGCGAATCCACTCGGTCTCGAGCTTGTCGTACTGGAGCTGCGTTAGCCGCAGCATGTCTTCGCGGCGACCATTGGGGCCGAGCTTCGCCATCTTCCATGATGCGGCGCAAGGAAAGTTGCACGCTTTTGGCTTCCGGGCAAACGCGCGTTGGAGCGTCGCGACAAGGCGGAGCTGTTCGCGTAGAAGTTCTTGGAGGCGGGCGTGTTCATGCATTGCGTGCTGCGCCGCAACGGCTTGGCGCTGCGCCCGCGCGGCCCACGCCGACGCCGTGGGCGTGAGAGCGCGTTGGGACTGGAGCGCTTGCAGTTGCGCCTCAAGGTCATCACGCTTGGCACGGAGGCGCTCGATCTCTTTCCGAAGCGATAGGCCGCGCTGGCGCTTCTTGGGCAGTGTAGCATCCTGGGCGGTAGCAGTTGCTTCGCCCGTGAGCAGCGCGAGGCAGTCGTCAAAGTACACGTCGTCGTCGTCCGAGGTGGCCATCTGCATGGCGATGACGGGTTGCTTGTTCAAAATGGGAAATGTGATCCACAGATCAGCATCAATTCGCTTAAAAAGTACATTAATTGTCAACACTGGAGGAGCAGGCTGACGGCGCGATGGTCCAAAGCACGCACCTCAGGCTTTGATGCTACCAGTAGGCTGGTGGTGGCTGCATTGATCTCTCCTCGTACCCATCGCGCTGTCGGCACGATCGACAACTCATTTAAGAGAATTCCTCCCGACAAGCTCGCACCGGATTGGTCGGCATTCACGTTGCCATTCCGAGTTGCGCAAGCGAACATGGAGGACGTGCTCGACGCCGACATCTTGGACGTGTGCTTGGCCAACGACGACGATAGCTTCTTCAACGACGTACTGCGCACGCTGCAGACCGGTGACGCCAATGAGACGACGACCGATGCGTCGTCGCCCGACCACGACGCGCCGGCGCCACGAACCAAGAAGCGGCAGCGGACGTCGCTACGGGACGAGATCCTGCACCTTCGCGCCAAGCACGACGCGCTGACTGCGCAGCTCGATGCGCTCGTGGCCAAAAGCGCGGCCGTATCCACAGCGTCGTCGCCGTCCTTCTGGGCGGGTCGGGCCAAGAATCAGGCGGTCGCTGCCCAGGAGACGCTGCATGAAAACGCCCGTCTCCAAGAGCTCCTCCGCGACCAGCTCAGGACGATTGCGACGCTTCAGCGCGCCTTTGCTCGCAAGCCAAAGCTCTGCGACTTTCCGTGTGTTGCGCCCTGGAAGATGGCGTCGCTTGGCACCACCGGTCGGCGCGAGGCCAAGGCCAAGCTGCTCCAGCACCAACGCACGCAGCTCGAGACCGAGTGGATTCGCCATCGCCTTGACGAGTACCACGCGCGCTGCGACAGCGTGCAGACGCACTACGCGCAGTCGGTGGGCGACGCCTTGTACGTACACTTTGTGGAGTGCCACAGCTGGAGCTTGGACGTCGACGCGGTCGCCGGTGTCGTGTGGGGTCTCCTGACGCGGCAGCTGACCCGCGAGCCGCAGATCTACGTGACGAGCGAGGCCGAGGTGGACGACGACAACACGACGTACTTTCGCTTTGCTGCGCGGATCCTCGGGCCGTCGCTGCCGCTGGTCGATGGCCGCCTCCTCGCCGGGCGCTTTGTCGAAGCCGACCGCGTCGTCTTTGTGACGCGCTCCATTCTGGACGATGCGCTGTACCCGACCGACCCGTCTCACTTTGTCGACAACCAATGTGGCTGGTACGCGGTGTTGCCAGATGTGGACCTCTGGTATCTGAAATTGTGCCTCTAGGATTGTCGTCCAGCGCGTCGACGACGCGACGACGCGACTGACGTCGTACGCTCGGTTTACGCCCCCGATGGTGTCACCTGACAGCACGATCACCGACTTTTCGCCTGGCATGTACACGGACTGCGTGCTGCAGCTCGTGGAAAAGTGCGGCGTCTCACTGCACGACATGGTGCAGAGCGTTCTCGACGATGCGCAGTAAAGACGCCTTGTCGCAACGAACCTGGATAATATTGTCATGTGTCGGTCCGACAATATTTGCATGCTGCCATCACGCGACGCCAGTGCGGATCTCAAGCCCGCCGGGTGATGTGGACAGTCTTCTCTACTCGCCGACGATAGTATCGCTACGTGTTATGACACCACCGGAAAATATGCTGGAGAGACTAGAACCCTACACCTAGTAGCTCAAATCACATTTGCAATACCTACTTTAGCGAGCAAGAGCTCAACACTCGATCTGTGCAC